ATGCACCCCTATGTTCATAGCAGCACAATTCACCATAGCTAAGATCTGGAAACAGCCTAAGTGCCCATCAGCAGATGAATGGATTAGGAAACTGTGATACATCTACACAATGGAATACTACACTGCTGTAAAAAAGAAGGAATTCTTACCATTTGCGACAGCATGGATGGAACTGAAGAGCATTATGCTAAGTGAAATAAGCCAGTCAATGAAAGAAAAATACCACATAATCTCACTCATTTATGGATAATTAGACCCTTATAAACTGAAGAGGCAAAATAGGTACCGAGGGAGAAGAAACTCGAAAAGACTGTCAAAACAACGGGGGGAGGCTTGGGAGGGTTTGGGGTGGGAGGGGGGGGGGAAGAAGACCAACCGAGGACTTGGATTGCTTCCTTCCAAGCTTAACCAAGGGACCCAGGAACTTGGGGGGCATGGGAAGGCTAGGGGGACGGCCAGGGGGAGGAAAAAAAAAAGGAGACATATATTAATACTCTTTTGTAATACTTTTAAGCAATAAAAACAATTAAAAAAATAAAAATAAAAATAAAAAACTGTTAAAAAAAAGAGCTTTATGAGACAAAATGAAATACTAATAACACAGTAGATGATCAAATTTGAATTTTGTTTTTGCTAATGTTCTCATGGTTATTTTTATTCAGCATAAAACACTTCAAAAAGACAAATATTGCTATGTGTTACAGAAGCAAAATTTTAAGTTAGGCTTTGGAATTTTGGTGTGAATAATCTATCAATTATACTGTATTCTAAAGATTTACACTGAGCTAAATTTCTTGATTTAAAATTTTGGTTTTTTAAGTATATTTAGAGAAAACATAGATTTATCAGTCAAATTAATTAATGTAATTTTATTATCTAAAAATAATTCATATTTATGTTAAAAATAATCATTTCTATTAAACAAATTACTTTTTTTGATAGAAGACCATAGAAGTAAATTTTTCTTTATAATGTCTTTTTTTGCCGTATATAATACAGAATATAGGAATTTTCTCAGGAAAAACAATCATATATATATATATATATATATATATATATATATACACACACAAAAGTAAAATATAAAAAGTGTTCATAACAAAAAAAAAGCATAAATCACCTACCAGTTTTATAATTTTGTCATTTTATAAAATAATGAAATAAGAACTTTAAAAAGACTATAAACATATATCCATTTTAATATATGTAGCCACAATAATTATTTATAATCCTATTTAATATTTCACTCTATGGTTGTTTCAATTTTACTAAAGCAATTCCTTCCTGTTAATCATTAATATTGATTGTGCTGTTTTCTGTTTTTAACAATACAGTGCACTATAAACATAAGTATTTAATCAAAGACAGTATCAAAATGGAAATCATGAAACTAAAAAAAATTATGTCAGAAGAATATCCAATTTGATGAATGATAAACATATTTTAAAAAATGTTTATTCTTTTACTTAAAATTTGAATCAATAGTTCTCAATAATTGGTTTTAGCATTTATTACATTAGAAACTCATTGAGAATTTTATTTATATAAATTATATCTATTAACATATACCATAATATAAATATCTAAGTTTTAATATACTTATTTAATTTATATATGAAAAATAAATTAATTATACATTAACCCAACATATTTTTTTGAATACAGGATGTGGCAAAAGTAGATTTACAGTTGTTCATATGGAAAATAATACAATAATCTATATACATAAACAGCCAGGGGACATTGCAACCAAACAGATGATCAAACAGGCTGCGTGGAGCGACCAGGACAGCAGGGGAGTTAGTGAGGGACGACCAAACGACTGAGCAGTAGGCTTTGTAGGTGACCAGGCTGGCAGGGGTGTAGTGAGGGACGACCAAACGAATGAGCAGCAGGCTGCATGGAGTGACCAGGACAGCAGGGGAGTTAGTGAGGGACAACCAAATGACTGAACAGCAGGGGGGGCAGTGAGGGGTGACTAGGCTGGCAGAGGGGTGACCAGGCTGGGTGATCAGGCTGGCAGGGGGGCAGTTAGGGGTGACCAGGCCAGCGGGAGGGGAGGGGCAGTTGGGGGCAAACAGGTTGGCAGGGGGGACAATTGGGGGTGACCAGGCTGGCAGGCAGATGCAGTTAAGGGTGATCAGGCTGGGGGCCAATAGGGGCAATCAGGCAGGCAGGCAGGTGAGCAGTTATGAGCCAGCAGTCCCAGATTATGAGGGATGTACAACTGCCGGTTTGGGCCCGATCCTAAGAACATCCCCCAAGGGGTCCCAGATTGGAGAAGGTGCAGGCTGGTCTGAGGGGATGCTCCCCCATGCACGAATTTCATGCACTGGGTCTCTAGTCCTATATAATAAAAGGCTCATATGCAAATAGACCGAATGGTGGAACAACCGAACAACTGGTCGCTATGACGTGCACTAACCACTAGGGGTGATGCGCGGAACATGGCAGACATCGGCCGTGGTAGGATTGTGGAGCAGGTGAGTGGGGGCACCATACCAAGGAGGGGCACTGGTTGCTGTCATTGGAGCAAGCCTCTGATGGTTACCGAAAATTCTTTGCACTGACGCACAGCAGTCCCACCCAGCACTCGCAACTGCTGCCATTTGCACCCACTGCCAGCACCCAGTGCCGGCCCCAATTGCTTCGCACTGTCTGCAAGTGCAAGCAGTGGTTGCCGGCCCCGATCGCCCCTGAGGGCTTCTCCACATCCCCCTGCTCCTGAGGGGCAATTGGAGAGCAGCCACCCCTCACACCTGGTGATGGCGCTGGCTCCAATCACTCCTCACTGTCAGCAGGTGTGAGCAGGACTGGCACTATCAGCGCATGGGAGCGGCAGCAGCAGGAGCGGGGCTGCTGGCAAACAGGAGACTGGGGGCTGCGGCTGGAGGGGCTGGGTGGGGGCGTGGAGGATGGGCCAAGACCCGGTCCTGTGCCCACCGCAGCCTCGCAGCCCACAGGTCTTTTCAAGGTTCACAAATTCATGCACTGGGCCCCTAGTTAATGAATAATAACACAAGAATATACTCTGTTTTGTATACTCACAACTGTTTGCCCACCATGTATATTATTTTCTAAACAAAAACATTAAAGATGTCATTGTTCTGCATTTCTGAAATTTTTAAAATATCTATCTTATTGGAAGAAACTGAATTATTATATTTGTGTTTGCCTCTCAATTGTTATAATATTCTGTTTTGGTTGAAATATATGAATAAATTCTGTCCTCACAGAGATAAGGGGCAATACTTAATAGCCTTTTCAGATAATTGTGAAATTCTAATTTAATAGTATAAAAAGTTCAACAAGTGATAGTGTCTTTAAGGGTTAATTAAAAGTGGAATCAGAACATATATCTCTAAGCATTTTGTTCCCCGTATATTCATGAAGAAATGAAGGTTAAAAAAAGTAAATTATTCTAATGTATTATTAAGTATTAAAATAGTTTTGACATTACATAGCATTGAAAAGGATCTTAGGGAACCCCAGGTATCCCCAGGCCTAGTGTTTAGAATCACTGTTATAATCATTTAAATTAGTTTTAACGGCACCTCATTAAAAGGGTGTTTATATATTTATTTTTTAAGGATTACAAATAAGATTATATATTTTAATGCATCACTTAGAAATTTTTCAAAATCACAATATTTAAAATAATAAAAAAAATGTCCCTTAAAAACAAAATACTACTACACATGGTTGACATATTTACATTAATCATTTTGATGTTTGGGAAATTGATAGAAAGTTGTTCCATTTATCAAACTTAATATGTAAAAGAGCATAATCTACCAAATAATTGAAATAGATATTTGAATCCTAGGAACTTGTGTCACTGCTATGACACTTTGCTATAAATTCTCTTTTTTTCTTTATGTCACTCCAAAATATGCACTTTGGCATATTGACTATTTTATTTATTTGCTTATGTATGTATGTATTTATTTACTTATTTATTTACTTGGATTATTGACACAATTACACATATTCCTCATTCTTCCCCCACCCCGACATACACTTTGCCACCTCCACACAGCACCCCCTTCCTCCTGGCCATCACCACACTGTGGTCTGTGTCCATGGGCTACACATATATGTTCTTTGACTAATCTCTTCACTTGCTTTCATCTATACCTTCCCCACCCCTCAACCCCCTATCTCTGTCAGTCTGTTATATTTGCCTGGCCATGACTCTGTTTCTATTTTGTTCATTTATTTTGTTTATTATATTCCACATATAAATGAGATCATATGATATTTGTCTTTCTCTGACTAGCTTATTTCACTTAAATCTCCAGATCTATCCATGTGTCTCAAAAGTTTAGAGTTCCTTCTGTGCCGGAAGCCAGTCCATCCTTGCTGCTTGACACAGTCACTGCAGGGAAGAAACATCTGCACAGCATATGTTTCAAGGGACCTGGCATATATGGCATACTGTTCTTAATATGTTTGCTCCCTTCTTAGCGTTATGTGTTTTAACCAAGGTCACCTCTCTGAGAAAGGTTGTTTCCCCAGGTGGGGATTTTTCCCTGGAGTTAGGGAGGGAATAAAACCCCTTAACTAAGTGCCAGGTGGGTGATTAATCACTTTAACTAGGAACAATCACGCTTAAGATACATAATCTTTACTTAGGATAATCTCCTTCAGTTACTTCCTTATAGCTTAATAGAACAATAGAGTAACCTTGGAATGGAGATAAGAAACGCCCTAAACTTTGGAATAGAATGGATAGGATTAAAATCAACTGGTATAAATACAGATGTAACAAGACAATAAACACAGAACTTGGCTGGAAATCCTGGCTAGAGAACCTGGCTAGGCTGCTGATCAACTGAAAGCTGTCTCCGTGTCATTCCTTCTTCACTGACTCCGTCCACACCTTTTGGGAAGCTCTGGACCTGCTGGGGCTGGACCCCAACATTTGTTTATGTGATCCTTGCAGACAGTAAAAGTAAACTGTCAGAGAATTCATACCCTTTGGTACTTGTTATTTGGACCCGCTTAAGGAGTCTGATTGATAGGATCAACTGGCAGCAGAAAATGAAAAGTAGTGTGGCACAGATAAAACATTCTTCAGGTCATGACAGAAGGGAAAACAATAGTTCATATCAGAGGACCATCTCTCCAGAAGACAGATATGCAAAACAAGAAAGATCCCCACGGGATAGAGATTACTTTGGGTACAGCAGGTCAGACAATGAGCGTTCAAGAAGAGGACGTTCTTATGATGACAGCATGGAGTCGCAAAGTAGGGACCGAGAGAAACTCAGAGAAAGAGAAAGAGATGTGGATCGGAAAAGGTACCGGAAATCTTCATCGCCTGGGAGAAGCCCAGAACCATCGGTAACCCAAAGTTCCTCTGCTCAGGATGAGCCTACTGCAAAGAAGAAGAAAGATGAGCTGGATCCTCTTCTTACTCGTACTGGTGGAGCATATATTCCTCCTGCAAAGCTCAGGATGATGCAAGAACAGATCACAGATAAAAACAGCTTAGCATACCAGAGGATGAGCTGGGAAGCTCTAAAGAAGTCAATTAATGGTCTTATCAACAAAGTCAACATTTCTAATATAGGTATTATTATTCAAGAACTCCTTCAAGAAAACATAGCTAGAGGGAGAGGCCTGCTGTCCAGATCTGTTTTGCAAGCACAGAGTGCTTCTCCAATCTTCACCCATGTTTATGCAGCTTTAGTGGCTATTATCAACTCAAAATTTCCACAAATCGGAGAATTAATCCTCAAGAGGTTAATTCTTAATTTTCGGAAAGGTTATCGAAGAAATGATAAGCAACTTTGTCTGACTGCTTCAAAATTTGTGGCACATCTTATTAACCAAAGTGTGGTACATGAAGTTTTATGCTTAGAGATGCTCACTTTGCTCCTGGAAAGACCAACAGATGATAGTGTTGAAGTAGCTATTGGTTTTCTCAAGGAATGTGGCCTCAAATTAACACAGGTGTCACCAAGAGGTATTAATGCTATATTTGAACGCCTTCGAAACATTCTCCATGAGTCTGAAATAGACAAAAGAGTTCAGTACATGATTGAAGTGTTGTTTGCTGTAAGGAAAGATGGGTTCAAAGACCACCCTGTTATTCTAGAAGAACTTGACTTAGTGGAAGAAGATGATCAGTTCACCCATATGCTTCCTCTGGAAGATGACTATAATCCAGAAGATGTTCTTAATGTTTTCAAGATGGATCTTAATTTTATGGAGAATGAAGAGAAGTACAAAGCTATTAAGAAGGAAATTCTTAATGAAGGAGATAGTGACTCAAACACAGATCAAGATGCTGGAAGTAGTGAAGAGGAGGAGGAGGAAGAGGAGGAAGAGGGAGAAGAAGACGAAGAAGGACAAAAAGTGACTATTCATGACAAAACAGAAATTAATCTAGTCTCATTTCATCGTGCAACTTATCTTGCTATTCAGTCAAGTTTAGATTTTGAAGAATGTGCTCACAAATTGCTGAAAATGGAGTTTCCTGAAAGCCAAACGAAAGAACTCTGCAACATGATACTGGATTGCTGTGCTCAACAAAGAACATATGAGAAATTTTTTGGCTTATTAGCTGGGCGATTTTGCATGCTAAAGAAAGAGTACATGGAATCCTTTGAAAGTAAATTCAAAGAACAGTATGATACCATCCATCGCTTGGAGACAAACAAATTGAGAAATGTTGCTAAGATGTTTGCTCATCTTTTATACACTGATTCACTTCCATGGAGTGTTCTTGAATGTATAAAGCTGAGTGAAGAAACCACTACGTCCTCCAGTAGGATTTTTGTTAAAATATTTTTCCAAGAACTGTGTGAATACATGGGTCTTCCTAAACTTAATGCAAGATTAAAGGATGAAACCCTACAGCCATTCTTTGAAGGGTTATTACCCCGAGATAATCCCAGAAACACTCGTTTTGCCATCAACTTTTTTACTTCTATAGGTCTTGGAGGTTTGACAGATGAATTGCGTGAGCATCTCAAAAATACACCAAAGGTCATTGTGGCACAGAAACCAGAAATTGAGCCAAATAATTCCTCCCCCTCCTCTTCCTCTTCTGCATCCTCCTCGGCAGAGTCCTACTCCTCTGCTTCTGGTTCGGACAGCAGTGACAGCAGCTCAGAGTCTTCCAGCAAAGACAGCGATTCCTCATCCACCAGCAGTCAGAGCTCTGCCTCAGCTAAAGCTATAAGAAAGAAGAGACAAGGGAACACCAGAAGCAAAGAAGTAGATAAATTTATCAGGAAACAACAAATAAATGATAGGAAGCAAGAAGAAAGAAGATCAGAGCAAAGGCACCAAGAAACAAGGACTGAAAGAGAAAGGAGATCAGAAAAACTCAGAGATAAAAATTCAAGGGACCCAAATAGGAGAGACTGACTTACAGGAGCCTGGAAGGGACCTAATGTACTTTTAACCTGGGGGAGAGGATATGCTTGTATATTTCCACAGGTCGCAGACTCACCTGTGTGGATTCCAGACCGTCTAGTCCAACCTTATGTCACTCCACCCTCAATCTCCGCCTCCTCCTCCTCCTCCCCGGTATCATCCATATCAGCCGACCCAGAGGGCAGAGCTGAGTCCTCCCCGGACGCCGACACCATCATCAAGCATGGCCCTGTGGACCCTTTGATCCAGCCATTCAATGCGCTGACACTTCGGGAACCTGTCGCCAGTGACGCTGCCCACTAGCCAGATCAACAAGGACAACCAAACCACCGACTTGAGGACAGCTGAATTCCTTGACTGAAGAGGCCAGCAACCTTCTACAAGGCTCTGTGTGCACTCCATCCACTATGTTTATTGCTGTGCTCACTATCATTGCTTGTCAGTCTTCTTCCGAATCTTAAACAACCCAATCGGAGAGGTGGCCGCTGATTTACACACTCTATCATTTAAAATATAAAAAAGGGGGAATTTGCCGGAAGCCAGTCCATCCTTGCTGCTTGACACAGTCACTGCAGGGAAGAAACATCTGCACAGCATATGTTTCAAGGGACCTGGTGTATATGGCATACTGTTCTTAATATGTTTGCTCCCCTTCTTAGTGTTATGTGTTTTAACCAAGGTCACCTCTCTGAGAAAGGTTGTTTCCCCAGGTGGGGATTTTTCCCTGGAGTTAGGGAGGGGAAAATGCCAGGTGGGTAATTAATCACTTTAACTAGGAACAATCACGCTTAAGCTACATAATCTTTACTTAGGATAATCTCCTTCAGATTTTCCTTGTAGCTTAATAGAACAATAGAGTAACCTTGGAATGGAGATAAGAAATGCCCTAAACTTTGGAATAGAATGGATAGGATTAAAATCAACTGGTATAAATACAGATGTAACAAGACAATAAACACAGAACTTGGCTGGAGATCCTGGCTAGAGAACTTGGCTGCTGATCAACTGAACACTGTCTCCATGTCATTCCTTCTTCGCTGACTCTGTCCACACCTTTTGGGAACCCCTGGACCTGCTGGGGTTGGACCCCAACACTTCTGTTTTATAACTTTGTAGTGTTTCATTGTGTATAGCTTTTTTATCCACTCATCCATTGATGGACACTTGGGCTGTTTGTTTATCTTGGTTATATATCTATATTAATAAAAGAGTAATATGCTAATTAGACCAGACATCTTCCAGACATCCTTCTGGACAAAGCCACAGTGGTGGGGGCTGAGGCAGAGGTGGTTAGTGGCGATCAGGCCAGTAGGGGAGAGCAATTAGGGGCGATCAGGCTGGTAGGCAGAGGCGGTTAGGAGCCAGCGGTCCCAGATTGCGAGAGGGATATCCTACTGCCAGGTCTAAACCAGCAGTCAGACATCCCTCTAGAGGTCCCGTATTGGAGAGGGTGCAGGCGCTGGGCTGAGGAACGTCCCCGTCAGTGCACAAATTTTGTGCACAGGGCATCTAGTCCTATATAATAAAAGAGAAACATGTAAATTGACTGCCCCTCCGCTATGCTAACCAACCAATCAAGAGTGAGTATGCAAATTAACTTGACAAAGATGGTGGGTTTTATTTGCATACACAGGCACTGGGAGGAGAGCAGAGCGGGCAAGCTGGCAGCTTGGGGGGACGTGGCTCCCTCGATCGGTCCCCCAAGCCACCAGGCAGAGAGCAGAGTGGGAGAGCTGGCAGAGTGGAGCGTCTTGGGGAACTTGTCTCCCCAAGCCACCAGATGGAGAGTAGAGAGGGAGAATGGTGGCTTGGAGGACTTGGCAGAGTGGGAGGCCATGGGACAGAGCAGAACGGGAAAACCAAGAGCGCAGGGAGCACCAGGAATTCTGGGAATAGTAGTTCTGGTGGCAACCCCAGGACCTGAAGTGGAAGCCCAGAGTTCGGGGAGCATCAAGAATGCTGGGAATCATAGTTCTGGTGGCAGATGGATCTCCTAGACACTGGAGCAAAATGAGCCTGGAGCAAGTTACTGTTGCAGTGGGGGATGGAGAGAAAGCAAAGGTGAGAGACATAAGTAAAATCAGAATGTCTAGGAAAAATTAAAGGGAAGATTCCTAAAACTTCCAGGAAATCTCCACCAATGAAGCAAAGAAAAAAAAATGCCTCTATTATTCTGTGAACAACAAACCAAACTGGGTTGGGGATCTCAGATAATTTGCTCATATGATTGCAAAGACAGACAGAAACTCCCAGATTGGAGAGGGCTCCCAGATTGGAGAGGGCGCAGGCCGGGTTGAGGGACACACCTCCAGTGCATGAATCTTTGTGCACTGGGCCCCTAGAATATATATAAAAGCCTAAGTGACCAAATGACTGAACAACCAGTTGACCGGTAGCTATGACGTGCACTGACGACCAGGGACAGACACTCAACACAGGACCTGCCCCTGCTGGTCAGAGCATTCTCACAGCAGGAGCTCTGCTCAGTTGACTGATGGGTGCCAGACGCCGGGCTCATGGCTGGTGAGCACCACTTCAGCAGCAAGCCTCTCCCGCCTCAGCAGCAACACTACCAATCGGCAGCAGCAGGCACAGAGGGGCTGGGACCGCACTGCTCTGGCTTGGGCTTCTCCCTAGCCACCTGCCGCTTTGGGCACTACTACATCCCTCGAGGGGCCCCGGATTGCGAGAGAGTGCAGGCCAGACTGAGGGACCCCACTGGTGCATGAATTCGTGCACTGGGTCTCTAGTTGTAAATAAAACTGCTATGAATGTGGGGATGCATATATTCTTTCTGATTGGTGTTTTAGAAAGCAAAATTGTTATTATTCACAAATGACATGATATATTCCACATAGAAAACCCTAAAGACTCCACCAAAAACTACTAGATCTAATAAATGAATTTAGCAAAGTAGTGGGATACAAAATTAATATTCAGAAATCAGTGGCATTTGTATACACTGGTAATGAACTATCAGAAAGAGAAACTAAGTAAACAAGCTCATTTACTATCACAACAACAACCACAAAAGATAAGGTAACTAGGAATAAATTTAACTGAGGAGGTAAAAGACCTGTATTCAGACAACTATAGGACATTGAAGAAAGAAATTGAGGAAGATACAAATATTGGAATCATATACTTGTTTGTGGGTTTGAAGAAATAACATCATTAAAATGTCCATACTGCCCACAGCAATCTATAGATTCAATGCCATTCCTATTAAAATACCAATGGCATACTTCACAGATCTAGAACAAATATTCCAGAAATTTATATGGAACCCAAAACACCCCTGAATAGCTTCAGCAATCTTGAGAAAGAAGAACAAAGTTAGAGGGATCACAATACTGCATATGAAACTATACTACAGAGCCACTCTGATCAAAACAGCTTGGCACTCCCCCCAGGAGCACACCCTCCCAGGAGCACACCCTCCCAGGAGCACACCCCTTCCCTTAACCTCTAAGGGACCCTGTGAGACTTGCAACCAAAGGAGCAATGGGCAGTGGCAATTCGTCCTGGGCTACCCCCTGAACCTGTCTCCAAGGCCCCCCCTTTCCTCTGACTCCCCATGAGACAAAGCAGCCTGGTCTTCGCTCCCCTGTTGCTTCTGCTATGTCCTTCCTTGTTTCACTCTCATAAGTATATTTTTGTTGTAGTTAATAAAGTCTTGCTTTTTTTCTACACTTTGTCAAAAAAAACAAAACAAACAAACAACTACAAAAACAGCCTGGTACTGGCATAACAACGGGCATATAGATCAATGGACTGGAACAGAGATCCCAGGAATCAACCCACTTCTCTATGGTCAATTAATATTTGACAAAGGAGGCAAGAGCATACAATGGAGTAAAGACAGTCTCTTCAATAAATGATGTTGGAAAAATTAGACAGGTACATGCAAAAAAATGAAACTTGACCACCAGCTTACACCATACACAAGAATAAATTCAAAATGGATAAAAGACTTAAATATAAATTCTTATTCTTTATTGGTTTTACTACTTTAATATGCTAATTTAATTAATTTTTTACAACTTAAAACATAATATATTATTTTTTCAATTATTTATGAAAACACTATGTCACAGGCTAATAAATGAAATTATGTTTTTAAAGAAGGTAATGATATTTCTAAGACTCTTGTTATAACATCAATGAGAGCAATAGTATCAATGCTTTTAGGAAAATGAAAATATATTAAAACAAATTATTGTCACTTTCAAATCATTTATATTTCTTTATATTAATAGGGATATATACATACTATATACACATATACATCCCATATAAATACATATGGTTACCTAGATAGATATGTATTACAAATATGGATATAAACACATACTCATTGAAATTGAATTTTTGGACTAGGACCCGGATTCTTTGTCTGCCAGAGTCAAAGAATGAATCCAGGGACAGAGAGTAGTATAGTAAAGGTGGAGATTTATGAAGAACAAGTAAAGACTCCCACGTGGGGAGAGGGGAAGAGTCCCACAGAATGGACTCCCACGTTGGGATGGGGCAAAGGGTCCCACTGAGTTCCTTTTCCCTATGGCTTATAAAGGCTGCAGATCCTGCTGCCTTGATAGCCCCTCTGATTGGTCACTATTCCCTAAGACTGGTTACTATAGTAACTCCTGGGCTCAAAGGTCAAACACCACATGGGGCAGGTGATGCCCTCCTCCCTCATTGTTCTTTTCTTTCTGGCTTTCTTTCTTTTTTTTCATTTTGTAAATATAGACCTTTTTGGCTACTTCCAGCTCCCTTGTCTTAAGTAAATGAAACTGTTGTTGCTCCCTGCACCTGGCTCCCAATCTGTAGCCCTGTGTTTTTTTATGGACCCAATTCTAAAAATGCCCTAAGCCTGCCTATATTCCCCTAAAATTCCTGTTTCGTCATCATCTGATCTTGCCTCTTGCTCAGAATCCTAAATCTTTATTACAACTGAGTTTTCATGTGGCTACAGAATAAACATATTTTAG